CCCATCATCCAAAGTCGATCCTCCTTCAAACTGCAGCAGGATGCAGAGTGGGTCATGGGGGCTCTGTGTGCCAAGTTTGATCTTGATCAGACATTAGATGAGGGTTGCAGCCGTCTTGGGAAGAGAGTGGAGGTACTTCAAGTCCCATCATCCATGGTCTGTCCTCCTCAAAAGTGCACCAGGATGTAGAGTGGGTCATGGGGACTCTGTGTGCCAAGTTTGGTCTTTATCGGTAATTGGATGAGCGTTGCAGTGGTATGAAGAATTAAGCAATGGTACTGCAAGTCCCATAATGCACGGTCCATCCCTGGCCAAACCACATCAGGACATAAAGTGGGTCATGAGAGGTCTCTGTGCGAAGTTTGGTCCTGATCAGTCATTGGATAAGGTTAACAGCGGTCTCAGAATGTGAGTGGTGGTACTGCAAGTCCCATCATCCATGGTTCATACTCCTCCAAACTGCAGTAGGATGTCGAGTAGGTTATGGGGGCTCTGTGTGCCTATTTCGGGCTGTATTGGGAGTGTTCTGACCCAGCCCCCGGCCTTTCCTTTCCTCTCTTTCTCATCTCGGAATGTTGGATTTGAGGCTGGCCAATCAGAGACCATATGCAAATTTCCTTCTGTCATGCCCGTTTCTGCCATGAACCCTCTTCTCCACCAGGGGCTCCTATTGAAGCTGGCCAATCAGAGACCATATGCAAATAGCACCACAGCGGCAGCCAATCAGAACGCTGCCACATACACCGCCCTCCACAATTCCTCTGTCCGATACAAACACTCTTCTTTATTATATACTAGCTTGGGGACCCGGCGTTGCCCGGGGTATTAGAGAAAGTGGGTAATGGCGGTTCTGTATGCCAAGTTTGGTCTTTATTGGTCTTTGGATAACGGCTGCATTATTTTCAGGAAGTGAGTGAAGGTACTTGAAGTCCCATCATCCATGGGCCATCCTCCTACAAACAGCAGCAGGATATAGAGTGGGTCATGGGGGCTCTGTGTGCCAAGTTTGGTATGTATCAGTCATTAGATGAGGGTGGCAGTGGTGTCAGTAAGTGAGTGAAGGTACTGCAAGTCCCATCATCCAAAGTCCATCCTCTTTCAAAGAGCAGCAGAATGTAGAGTGGATCATGGGGGCTTTATGTGCCAAGTTTGGTCTTGATTGGTCATTAGAAGAGGATTGCAGCAATCTTTGGAAGGGAATGGAGGTACTTGAAATCCCATCATCCATGGTCTGTCCTCCTCCAAACTGCACCAGGATGTAGAGTGGGTCATTGGAGCTCCATGTGCCAAGTTTAGTCTTGATTAGTCATTGGTGAGGGTCTCAGTCGTCTCAGGAAGTGAGTGAAGTGACTGCAAGTCCCATCATCCATTGTCAAATTCTTCCAAACCGCACCAGGATGTAGAGTGGGTCATGCGGGCTCTCTGTGTAAATTGTGGTCCTGATCCATCATTGTTGGCAGTTGTAATGGTCTTAGGAAGGGAGTGCAGGTATTGCAAGTCCCATCGTCCATGGTGCATCCTCCTTCAAACTGCACCTGGATGTAGAGTGCGTCATGGAGACTCAGTGTGCCAAGTTTGGTCTTTATCGGTAATTGGATGAGCGTTGCTGTGGTCTCAGGAATTGCGCAAAAGTACTGCAAGTCCCATAATCCATGGTCTATCCCCAGACAAACACACACCAGGATGTAAAGTGGGTCATGAGAGGTCTATGTGCCAAGTTTGGTCCTGATCAGACATTGGATGAGTTTAACAGCGGTCTCAGAATGTGAGTGATGGTACTGCAAGTCCCATCATCCAAAGTCGATCCTCCTTCAAACTGCAGCAGGATGCAGAGTGGGTCATGGGGGCTCTGTGTGCCAAGTTTGATCTTGATCAGACATTAGATGAGGGTTGCAGCCGTCTTGGGAAGAGAGTGGAGGTACTTCAAGTCCCATCATCCATGGTCTGTCCTCCTCAAAAGTGCACCAGGATGTAGAGTGGGTCATGGGGACTCTGTGTGCCAAGTTTGGTCTTTATCGGTAATTGGATGAGCGTTGCAGTGGTATGAAGAATTAAGCAATGGTACTGCAAGTCCCATAATCCACGGTCCATCCCCGGCCAAACCACATCAGGACGTAAAGTGGGTCATGAGAGGTCTCTGTGCGAAGTTTGGTCCTGATCAGTCATTGGATAAGGTTAACAGCGGTCTCAGAATGTGAGTGGTGGTACTGCAAGTCCCATCATCCATGGTTCATACTCCTCCAAACTGCAGTAGGATGTAGAGTGGGTCATAGGGGCTCTGTGTGCCTATTTCGGTCTGTATTGGGAGTGTTCTGACCCAGGCCCCGGCCTTTCCTTTCCTCTCTTTCTCATCTCGGAATCTTGGATTTGAGGCTGGCCAATCAGAGACCATATGCAAATTTCCTTCTGTCATGCCCCGTTTCTGCCATGAACCCTCTTCTCCACCAGGGGCTCCTATTGAAGCTGCCCAATCAGAGACCATATGCAAATAGCACCACAGCGGCAGCCAATCAGAACGCTGCCACATACACCGCCCTCCACAATTCCTCTGTCCGATACAAACACTCTTCTTTATTATATATATAGATATAGATATACCTGGGGTCTAGTAAAAAGTTCTCACGCGGAAAGGAGTCGCAAGGAGGAAAGGACCGGTTTTAGACTATAGCCACTCAAATGTTTGTCAATTAGCAATGTTGGATGGGGTTTCTGGAAGCTGAAATTCACAACAGTCAATCAGCAGCCTTTATTTCAGTCAATAAACCTTCAACTGAAAGTTCACAACGAAGAATCCTAGAGTTGAAAGAGACCACAAGGGCCATCATCCAGTCCAGCCTCCTGCCATGAAGGAAAAGCACAATCAAATCACCCTCTACAGATGGCCATCCAGCCCGTTTAAAAGCCTCCAAAGAAGGAGCCTCCCCCACACACCCCCACAGTGAGTTCCACAGCTGAACAGCTCTTATGGTCAGGAAGTTTTTCCTAATGTTCAGTTGGAATCTCCTTTCCTGTAATTTGAACCTACTGCTCTCAGTCCTGGTCTTGAGGGCAGCAGAAAACAAGCCTCTTTCTTATAACATCCTTTCAAATATTTAAACATGTCTATAATGTCAAATATGAAGGACCAAAGTCAGTTATTAGTTCCAGAATTGAAATTGTAAGTCTCAGGGAAAGTTTGCTTTTAAAATTACGCAGATATTGTGAGAAAAGTCAAATACTTTGGGGCCTGTTTCTCATGCTAGTGTTAAATTAGTATGGATTAGCCAGCCAGCTAGTACTGTGAGCTAATGGCCAAATTATGGTTCAGGAAATTCATGATTTGAATCCTACCTTTGCCACAAATTTATGCGCCTGTCTTACAGGAATAAATATAAGATAATTCATGTGCAGCTTTTTGAATTCTGAAGGGTAACACAAACACCATTTATTATTATTAAATATTTAATGACTCGTAAAATCCCCCACTGTCCAGTAGTCAAAGCACCATGAATAGTTTATGCTAAATAGCAGAGAAGTGTTTGTTGGTAGCTTTTCAGGTGGAGGTTGGTTTTAAAAAGCATTGTAAATAGTGAAAATGGATAAATTAAGGTATTTGTTAAGGGATAGATCCAAGAACTCTTTTTTCAGACTGGAATTTGTGGAATAACTAAAAAGAACAGAAGGAGATGTAATAACAGTAATGTTTGAGGAGTGAAAATTGAGTTACTTGATTGTAAGGATTAAATAGGTGAATAGTTTTTATGTTTTGTGGATTGATATAAGTGTGGATTTATTTACATTTAATTGGTATTTAAAATTGTTATAGTAATAGTAATATAGTATAGTAATAATATAGCAATAAGGATATATTTATGTTATTTTCATCTAAGTTAGAAGAGATAATGATATAGGATTACATACTTTTCCTCAGTTTAAGTTGGATGTCATTTTGTTTAATGTTTTGTTTGTTTAGCATGATTTATTATTATGTGGTTTTGTTTATGTTTATTATTTTGTGTTGTTTTGTTTAATGTTTAGTATATGTTTTATTATGTGTGGTTTTGTTTTTCTTTTCTTTCTTTCTTTCTTTCTTTCTTTCTTTCTTTCTTTTGGATTTGTTAGAGTTATTTTAATCCGATAAAGTGACATCTAAAATTTAAATAAAAAAGTGAACATCTGTGTGGCTTTTCAAACTTTGAAATGTTATTTAAATAATTGTATTAACAAACATGATTAATGATATTATTTAATTATTTTTATATATTGGGAAAGTATTGGTAGCTCTTCAAGTGAAGGTTGGTTTTAAAAAGCACTGGAAGTAGCAGAAATGGATAAACTAAAGTATTTATTAAGGGATAGCTCTAATAACTTTTTTTGAAACTGGAATTTATTTGTGGAATATCTAAAAAGAACAGAAAGGGGATTTAATAATAATGTTTTTTTAAATGCAGTATCAAAAGCTGAGGATTTATGGTGTTTGTTACCAATGGCTGGGCTTAGCACAGCAGGCTAAACTGCTGTGCTGTAGAAAAATCTTGCCGACTGAAAGGTCAGCTGCTCGAGCACCCACCATTAGCACTAGCTCACCTGACTACCTAGCAGGTTGAAAGCAAAAATGCAAGTAGATAAAATAGGCACTGCTTTTAGCAGGGAGGTAATAAAAAGGTGCCCTTAAGAACATCAGTTGAAGGAAAGTTCCTCAGCATGGAAGATGAAGCGACAACACAAACACACCCATGGCCGGAATCGAGCACAGCCTCCACGATGCTGGAAATAAGATAGAAAAACTGTCTTTACCTCCATTTGTGTTGTCTGTCCTTGTAAATTGCATAATTTGCATTGAATGTTTGCTGTATGTGTGTTCTGTAAGCTGCTCTGAGTCTCCTTTGGGTTGAGAAGGATGGGGTATAAATACAGCAAATAAATAAATAAATAAATAAATAAATAAATAGGAAAAGTGCACCACTGCACTTGTTTCTAAGCAGCACATTGTGAAACTTATTGTTGTCTTTGGATTTCAGCATTAGATCCTTTGTAGTACCTGAAACAGAAGAATCTGAATTGCCTGCTCAAGATGGTCAAAGTTGTAATGGAGAACAGCCATACCATGCTCCTGAAATCACTCCACTCTATGGCATCTCATCAAAAATGGCTCCCTTGTTCCAGGAATCTGGATATAAGTAAGAGATATAAGAAAACCAACATCTTGCCTGGCACCTATATTGTACCCTTCTTATTGCCTCACATTATGACCCAAGGAGATTTGGAGAGAAAGAAAGCAATCAAGTGCTTAAAGAATTGGGAGTGTGGAAATAAACATTGGGACAGTAGTGGGCAAAGGGTGGCCTTGGGACTGTGTGCAACCTTCCAGAGCTGTTTCCGTTGCCCTCACTTTCTTCAGATAGATCTCTTTTGGGGGCCCTCCAAATTGGTGGATTGACATATATGGAGGGAAGTAAGGAAATGCACTTTTTAAATAAGTTGCGAGTCACTCTTATGAAACTTAAAAAGGAAAAAAAACAACACTTTTTTTTTCAAAATCTCCAACATTGCTGTAACTGTAGCTTTTTGAAGGAGATTTTGAAAAATGGTCTATTAGGGTTAGGGGATTAAAATATTCACTTTTTTGGGTGCTACTTTCAAGAGTTTGTTTTGTTTGGTCAAGTTGCCACTGTGTTTTGTCATAATGTTTCAAGGTGGGATCCACTTCCTTACTACAGAAACTTTTATTTTAATCTCTGATTTGTTAGAGCTAATATTGGCAGTGCTTCTAAGTCATGATTGAGAAAATAACAAAGGATTCTGTTTGCTCTTAGGAAAAACCATACCCTAACCAGCAGTGAAGTGAGAAGTGCCATCATCAATTATGTGAAAATTAATGAATTGGTTGATGAAACCAACAAAAAGTATGTAAGCTCTGAAACTTGCTTATGCAGAGATCGTAATATAGTTGACCCTTGGTATCCATTAGGGTTTGGATACCTAATTCCAAACCCCAATGGTTCCAGCCGAGTTTCCCTTTCCGAACGTATTTCCCTCTATGAGCCATCTTGGAGGTTAAGATCTTCTGGGGAGGCCCTGCTCATGGTCCCACCTCCCTCGCAAGTGCGACTGGTGGGATGAGAGACAGGGCCTTCTCGGTGGCCCCTCGGTTGTGGAACTCCTTCTGTAGTGACTTTGGATCAGTCCCCTCTCTCCTGACCTTTAGGAAAAAAACGGAAAACATGGATGCTGGGCCAAGCTTTTGGATAATTTTGCAATATGTGAATATGGAATGGTGCAGTGATAATTGGAACGGCCTGAACTACGATACTGGATTATGTGATTTTAATAATTGTAATGATGAAATCTTTTTAGCGGGTGTTTTAATGTATATGTTTTATTTTCTGGATATGTGCGCCACTCTGAGTCCCCTTTGGCATGATAAGGGTGGGATATAAATATGGCAGATAAATAAATAACTCACGGTAATGGCATAGTAAAACAGTGTCCTTTATATGAGGTGGCAAAATCTAGTTTTGCTTTTTGGAATTAAATATATATATATATTCAAGCCATTAATGGTTTAATCGCTGGATGCAGAATCTCTGGATGGAGAGGGCCAATTGTACCCCATGCATTGAGAAAGTGGGCTGCAGCCCACATCAAATCATGTTGTAATGTTACTCTTAAAAGTGAGACAGGATTCTATTTTTTCCTGGGTCGTTTGAAATAGCTCCCTCCTCTTCAGATGAGTAGTAGGCTTACAATAGGGGACACCTTGGCCTTTGTTTCTGAATAGGAAATTGATTTTTCTTGTTATGAATATGTTATGCAGTCATGAAAAAGCAATTATCGTATAAGACTTGATTTCCTATAACTGGCTGTGCAGATTGGAGCAGGAGCTATCTGTATAATAGTCCAAAAGCAGCTGCCTTTTAAGAGTCCTGTTGCTGCTTTTTAAAAATATGAAGAAACTAATAGAGTTGTGCTTCTCAAAGTGCTATTCTGTGGAACAATGCTATGGGCCAGAGTTTCCAGGCAAGAAGGAACAGTTATGACCAAATATGGCCCTGAAAACAATACTTGCAAGCCTCTTCATATAGCTCTGCTTTAATATGTTGCATGATCTTGACTTTACTATATTCTCAATTCAGGAAGCAGATTGTGGTGGCGCTTATGTATTTTTAACCCGCATTGCTTAATTACAGCTTTGTAAAGGTGAATCCGATCTTATGTGACTGCCTGTTGAACAAATCGGAGCAAGATGAAATCTCAAAGTTCAAATGGGATGATCTCTTGAGTAGGTGAGCAGGGAGCAATTGCTGTTGCTTCTTTATTCGCTTTGATATTTCCTGTAATGAGGTGCATGAGTGGGAGGCATCTGTCATGCTTTTCTTTGGATTGTGGTATTGTTAAGAGTGCCTTTAATGTTTACATTAAAAGTTAGAGATGCTCTTTAGTGTACACATGCAGTTAGTGTTCAGAAAAAATCTCTACTACTTGGGGACTGATTTTTTAAAGAACCACTTAAACCTTGGCATGCTCCATATTTCTGATGCTCTCTGAAAATTCATCCACTGCTTAATATGATACTTAAGATGATAAAATGCTAGAATAGTGAAAGGAACCACAACAGTCATCAAGTCCAAGTCCCTGCCTTGCAGTATACAACTAAGCTATTCTTGAAAGATGCTTATCCAACCTCTATTTAAAGACTTCCTAAAATGGAGAATACGGTACTCTTTGGGACAATTGATTCCACTGTTGAATAGCTCTTGCAATAAAACTTGGATAGGCGATCTCCAGATATATCTAGGAAAGAACTTTCTGAAACACAGGAGAGTTAGTGATGCAGGTCAGGCCTGATAATATTGAACAGGGCTTCTTAAACTTTTTTCCACACACAACTCCTTTCCACTTGAGAAATTTTTATGTGACCCCAGGTATATAAAATAGATATTAAAATCAATCATTTACTGATACTAAACCAGCATTTGCAAGGCTTGCTAAACAGACTGGTTTTCTTTTTATGTGGAGCACAGCTGAACATTGTTAAACCCTTGCGCCAGCTGAACTGCTGACCTGAAGGTCAACAATTTGAATCCACAAGACAGGGTGAGTTCCCATATGTCAGCTCCAGCTTCCCATTCGAGACATGAGAGAACCCTCCCACAGATGGTAACACATAAGGGCATCACCTGGCAAATGTCCTTGCAGATGGCCAGTTCTCACACCAGAAGCAGCTTGCAGTTTCTCAAGTAGCTTCTGACACAATTAAAAAAACTGAATTTTGTTGCTAACAGATATGTGTGTAAATTGGTGTCCTTCACAAAACCTTTCCTGTTGCCAATTTTTGTCACCCCAACATTAAGCTAAGATGACTCCATTTGGGGTCGGGACTCACAATTTAAGAAGCAGTGGAATAGACTAATATGATCTCCATATGTGCCATTCTATTTACAAGTTAGAAGTGATTTGTTGCTTGTTTTTTAGCTGGAGTCACTTCAGTCTGGGTTGAGTGATTTGTGATGTTTTATTTATTTGATTTCTATTGTGAGGTAAGACTGAGTGTTTGATGAAATTGAGACTCACGTCAGCTGGTAGAGATCTATTGCCTATTACAAATCATACAGATTTTATAAGAAAGTAATGACAATTTTCAAACAAACAAAAAAATTCTTTTCTGCAGTGCTCCTGTTCTACATATTTTCCTATCACCCTGTTCTGCCACCATCTGGATCCTTTTATATTGCATCCAGAAAGCATAAAGTTGAATAAAGGCAGAGAGGTAGTAAAGCCTCTGGAGTAGATGTTTGGGCAGCATGGTGTGCTGCAAGATTACTGAGGGGAGAAGAAAGTCCAGTTGTACAATAGGACAATCATCAGTGCAACTGTCTATGGTTAAGCCAGTAATACCAGATAAACATACATTTCATTGCCAACTTTCTGGCAGGTGTCTGGATCAACTACAGCCCTTCCATCAGGTGACCTTTGCTGGACATGAACCTATTGTGAGAAAAGGAAACATAGACCCCATTGAAATTACCATAGGCCAGAGATCATCCAATAAAAAGGTAAGGAATAAGTCTTCTCAGCACAAGGATGAATGGCTGTTGCTGCAGAGTCCATATGGGAGTAAATGATACTTTGCTTTTTCCGGAAGTCTGTTGTCTAAAATGCTTTCTGTATTATTCTACTGTCAGTGCAAGTCTTGCCTTCTCCTCAATGTAGAAGTTTAGATAGACTTTGGAGACATGAAGGGGCAGCTACCCAAACTGCATTATAGACAGTTGTGTTCAGAGAAGGGAATAGATAGCATTTTTTTTCCCTGAGATTTTGAGATAAGTAGATTCCCATTAGACCAAGAACACATGGGATTTTTCCTCCTTCAAATAAAATATTTGAAAAAAAGTCAGTATTTCAGTTGTACAAAATGCATAAGGTGGTTGAACAACAACTCACATCATGCCACATTGCCCTGAAAAACTCAGTACTTAAAGTTTGTTATGTTGGGCAGGTTTGTCCAAGATGCATCATCAGTGGGGTTCAGTGTGCTCTCTGGCTGTAGGGTAAACTGTAGCTCCCACTATGGTGAGCCAGTCCCCTCAGACCCCTCTAGTAAGTTCAGTTGGTCATGGGGGTTCTGTGTGCCAAGTTTTGTCCAGGTCCATTGTTGGTGAAGTTCAGAGTGCTGTTAGATTGCAGGCGAACTATACAACTATACAACTCCTGTAATTGGTAAATTCTCCCCAAACCTCTCTAGTATGCTCAGTTGCCAATCAATTCCTCTGTTTGCTGTGTACCATAGAAAAGAATAGGAAAGGGTTATCAGAGAGCCAGTGGATGGAGTCATGCAAATTCCAAACCAATTGAGAGAGTAAGAAACACTGGAATGTCTCTGGTGGAGGAAAATACATAAAATCTAGGATGAAATAGTCCCTATATGAAAGCCTTAACTTGGGTGGAGGCAGTATGGTGTTTGTGGAGGACATCAGCAGAGCTCATGGGCATGTTCATGGCACTCACTATAACCTGCAGTGTCATTGGAGGGAGGGCCATTGGTGTCTCCTGAGTAGTGGAAGCTATAGCTACTTGTGGAGGCAGGAGCTTGTCTGTGAAAGTGGACATTTGAGCCATTTACACATATATTTACATACATACATATGTTCACTTTTATTATGTGTATAAATAGATATAGAAATATAGTAGAGTCCTGCTTATCCAACATAAATGGGCTGGCAGAACGTTGGATAAACGAAAATGTTGGACAATAAGGAAGGATTAAGGAAAAGCCTATTAAACGTCAAATTACGTTATGATTTTACAAATTAAGCAGCAAAACATCATGTTTTACAACAAATCAACAAAAAAAGCAGTTCAATGCATGGCAACGTTATGTAGTAATTATTGTATTTACAAATTTAGCACCAAAACATTGCAATGTATTGAAACAGCTGTGGATCCGGGCAGGAGGCAGACTGTTGGATAATCCAGAAAGTTGGATGAGCGAAGGTTGGATAAGTGAGACTCTACTGTACTTCAGTTAATGAAGTGGTCTTGGCATTATTTTAACAGAATCTTTGGTACCAGAAGTTGAAATAATATGGAAAAAATAGAGAGAGATTCCTCCACCACAAAAAAGAAGAGCAGTTCAATATGTTCCAGCAAACTTTTTCTTGAAAGTTAACCATATGCAGTCTTTGTAAAACTTTTAAAGTTTGTAAAAATGATTTCCTTTGTTAACAGTGACAAACTCATATAGGTGCATTTGATCTTATAGGACCAAAGGAACTTTTTTCGTCCTTTCTTAAACTGCTTAGCTTGTTATACAGTCCAAAGTTAAACAATTATCTAAAAACTAGATTAGTGTTTACTGCACCCATCATATAATACTCCTCTTTTGGCTTGCAGGTAACGATAATTAAGAATCTTGAGCTGTATGGTCTAGATCCACAAATTGTTGCCAATATTCTCCAGCAAAAAGTCCAAGCTAGTGCCACTGTAACCCCACTCCCAGGTGCAAAAGACAGAGCACAAGTCCAGATACAAGGCAATCAGATCAACCACCTTGCTAAGCTGCTGTTAGGTAAGTGTCGATGGAAATCTTACAATAAGATTTCTTAGCAATTATTACTTCTATGTTTAGTCACTTTAAAAGTTGATAAATCATGTAATTTCATACATCATGAATGGGAGTGTTTGACTCACCAGAAGTTGCTAGACTGCAACTCCCAGAATTCCTCACAATTGTCAGTGCTTGCTGAGACTGCAGTTCAACATCTGGATTTCCTATTCCTGCTGTTTATGATGCATGTCACATTACACTGTTTTAAGGCTATATCCCTCTTTAACTGCAATGGCAACGTCCTATGATACCCTGGGATTTTCAGTTAAGAGGCATTTGGAATTGTCAGTGAGAACACTCTTGAGCCTCATTCAACAGGATGCCATGGCAATTAAAGAGGGATATAGTATGAAGTGTAGTGTGATAAAGATCTAGGTCTATGTCAAAGACAATCCTATTTTGTTCAGTGAGACTTACTCCCAAATGTATGTGTATAGAATTGCACCTAAACAGAACAATCCCTAAGGGTGGAGATATGTGAAAAAGGAAATTTCATGGAGGAGGAATTGCCCCCAGTTAGGGCCTTTTGGTTTGTGAGAGCCAGCACAGAATCATTGAGTAGGAAGAAACCACAAAGGCCATCCAGTCCAAACCCTTGCCATGCAGAAACACACAGTCTGAGCACTCCCAACAGATGATCACCCACCCTGTTTCAGTCAAAGAAAGGAGACTCCACTACCACTATTTCATGTCTTGGTTTCTGCCACAGCAGAAAATAAGCTTGCTTTAATTTCAATATGACATCTTTTCAAATATTTAATCATTGCAATCATGTTCCCTCATAGCCTTCTCTTCTCCACGCTATATATACCCAGTTCCCTAAGCCACTCTGATTACGGCTTGGCTTCCAGACCTTTCACTGTTTTGGTCACCCTTCTTTAGACACATTCCAGCCTGTCAATGTCCTTAGTTTTGGCCCAGCGCCATGTTAGGAATATTTTGAATTCTTATCCTATCCTAGGGTCTTAAGCTATCTCTTCTCATTTGGTGACATCTGCAAATTTGAGAAGCATTTCCTACACTTCATCATCCAAGTCATTGATAAAATTTTGAATAGCACTAGGCCAAAGACTAGGCCCCACCAGTTGCTTCTCTCCAAGATGAAGAAGAGCCTTTGGTGAGACTTTGTGGGTTTGGCCGGTTAACCATTTTTAAATCCACATAACAGTAGCATTGCCTAGCCCACATTTTATTAACTTTGCAAGAATATCTTGGGGGAACTTTAAAAACAGAGTGTTGTTTTCCTCTTTGGAATAACTCTTAATGTGGATTGACCTGGATGATTGAAACACATAATATTTATCAGCTAGAGTTACAATGTCTATGGACAACACTGGCTCTTTGGCTTAGAAATGGAGATGAACACCACCTCCCAGAGTTAGAAATGATTAGACATAATGTCAAGAGGAAACCTTTACCTAGAGTTACAATCTTATTCATATTAACCTGCAAGTAAGTCCTTTTGAATTTATTCCTGGGTGAACTGGAATAGGATATAGCTGTGTTGTTAAACAACATGGCACTTTCTCAATTAGATGGTATAATTTGCCTTGGTTCTCCTGATGTTCTAGGTTTTCTGTTGCTGAATATAATAGTCTGATTACTTGTTGATGACTGGTTCTATTGCAGAGGATTACCATCTACCTCGCAAATACATCCAAGGCCTAGAGAAGGCACCAAAGATGGGCCGCAAGAAGTAATGAGGCCTCAAGAAGATATTCGTGCTCCATTATTTATATGTATTATATTCAATGAAGTGAGTAATCCAACTGCCTTACCTGTTAAAAATGGTTTTTATTTAAAAAAAATTAAAAAAAGATTTATCTCCAGTTAGTTAACTCAGCTACCTATCTATTTACTTAATGAGGATTAGAACTTCTGCAGAATGTGATAAGAGGTAAGAATGTTGAGAACGTCAACTTTCCACACGTTTTTTCTATCTGGAGAGTAGAGAGAGGATGACCTGGAATTTTATGTCTTAGGAAAACCAGCTATTCTTGGAGGGTGGGGGACGGGATGAGACGGGACCCATTGTCCACAGTGTGTATGGCATTTAAGACTAGGAGGAATGCATGAATAGCTCCCCCCCCCCCAAATAATATTTACCTTAAGCATTTCCCTGCTTCTCCAGCATAGGCAAAAGTGTCTATTTGCAGTATGAATCACAACATTTATTGGGGGGTCCTCCCTGTTCTTAAGCACCTCTGACCTGCCTATGTACTTCTGTAATGTAAGACACAGGAGACTGGTAGTGAACATGTGAAGTACATAAGAGGCAGTCTCTCCCAATGAAGACTATGTTTCTGCTCACAATTGGGCAAAGCAGGTTCAAAAGCTTCTGGCCTGAGTCCTTTAATGAATGGGAATGGCGGTGGTTAGAACAAATGTGACTAGTTATTCAGACATTGTTCATTTACTAATAGGATGCCTGTTTTTATCACTGAGATGGAGGCCTCCGACCAGTGGTTCTCAACCTGTGGGTCCCCAGGTGTTTTAGCCTACAACTCTCAGAAATCCCAGCCGGTTTACCAACTGTTAGGATTTCTGGGAGTTGAAAGCCAAAACATTTGGGGACCCACAGGTTGAGAACTACTGCCTTAGACAAGATTCTATGATAATTTAAAGACAATTCCACGGAGAGCCACATGAGGGCAAATGATAATGAAACCAAATGGACTTCTTGAAACAACTTTATTGAAGACTTGTTTATTTTTAATAGCTTCTTACACACTTTGCATCACAGGAACAAATTGGTCAGGAGCTTTAAAAAAAAGCTAGAAGGTGACATATTCTCAGTCGTAGGGCTGAAACAGTAGTAAAAATAAATTACAGCATTGCAAAAATGTATTTACTTTCCCACAAGCTTCTACTATTTTCATTCTATACAGATTGTACATGTTTTACAATGGACCACTTAAAAAGGGAAAAAAGATGTATTACACACATACAGATGCAGGCAACACAACGTATTAAACTATGGTTGAGCAAAGGGTGGCCCTCCAGATTTTTTTGGGCTACCTCTCCCAGAATCCTTTGCCACTGGCTATGCTGCCAAAGGTCTACAAGAACTGGAGCCCAATAACATTTTGAGAGGTGCATTTGGGCCACACCTGCACTAAACAAAGGCACTGCCAGCAGTAGTCTGCGCATCGCAAGTTGGGGCCTCCACTAACTCTTACTAAGGCTTCTGCTCTGCCACATATCAAGTGGCTCTGCTTTCTTTCACCATCTGAGCTTCGGAATTATTATTTATTTTCATAATGGCCCATAGATATATAATCTTGTAAAAAAAGAGAGGAAAAAAGACACCACACCCACCTATTTTGCAGGAGGCTTAGTCAGCAGCACTTACATAAATTGCATAAGAAGCCATGCCTTCTATAAAAATGTCCTAAATATTTGAGGGATGGGGAGGGAAGGATGAAGAGTGCCAGTCACTGAAAAGCTAAGGTGATATTTTTTTCCCATTAAGCATAAAAGAGAAAACAAAAATTAAATATGCAACATTGCTAGGTAGAAGGTATCAATGGCATACAGATACTGCCTTCAAGTTTGGGATGTTGTTGTTGGGTTTTTGTTTTTGTTTTTTGGTTCTCAATCTTAGTAGTACTACTATTGAAGGAACTGCGCTCCCTCCTCAGTGTGCACAGCCATGTATTTCCACAGTGATTGGGAAGTGCCTTTTCTTCTTGGTTCAGCATTTCACAGGTGCTTCTTTCTAAATACTTCATGCTCTCCTTATGCTACCTTACTGCTGCAAGGTACTGCTTCCTCAGTGCCCCCATAGAAGGAAACAAACCTTTTGTCTCTTTACCTGGTCCAATAAAGCTTTGGTTTGAGGCAGTGGTTCTCAAACTGTGGGTCCCCATGTGTTTTGACCTACAACTCCCAGAAATTCTGGCCGCTTTACCAGCTGTTAGGATTTCTGGGAGTTCTGAACGCCAAAGCATCTGGGGACCCACAGGTTGAGATCCACTAGTTTAAGATATCTGCTACAATGCCACAAGTTCTGGCTCGGCTTTCTGACTTTATGAGTTAAGGGGGCTCAACACAAATAACACAATATACAGGCAAATTTAATGGGCAGGTTACACTTCCTGTTTTAAATCAAGGGAGAAACAGGGTAAGATTGTTAGGGGTTTTTCTACTTGTACCTCTTGGGTTTTTTAAGGAGAATGACTGTTGCTGCCAGGGCACTTCCCATACATTTGTTTGGCTTGCCAGCACAGATTTTGAAATTAACCCCAAACAGAAGTAGTTTTAAAAATTAAATTAAACTGTAATACACTTGGGGAGGGGGGCCTTAGAACATGGGAAAGCATTTTCTTGATTCTGTAAGACACTTTCTTAGAGGTAAGCAGGAAAATAACATTTCTTTCTGTCCTAATTTGACAGCAAGCAAGCTGTTAGCAGCTTGCCTGAAAGTGGCAGCTATAGCTGCAGTCAAAAATAGAGCTATTTTGCTGTCGAATGTCTGTCTACTTGACAGAATGATAAGGACAGTGCTAGCCACTTCCACAACTGCAGCAATAGCTGAGGAATATCCAAGTCTGTCTCCAAGTGTAAGATGAAAAGAGTTACGAGCAGAAAGCTCTGTGCAAAACATAAGGAGCTCTAAGTAAGTTTTCCAGCATTGTTTGACACTTAAGTGCTCTGGCCATGTCTCCTAACTCCAGCTGAAGTCTCACATTACTTTTTAAATCTTTATCTAAATGGAAGGGCCCAATGACACCACTGAAGACAGAGGAATGTCCCCCATAAGCAGAATTATCACTTGTTGCATTGATGACTTGCACAGGTTCACCTTTACTGATCACTTTCCTTTGGTGTTTCACAGAAGCAGGCAGGTCTTCTGCCACAAACTCCCTCTTCCCTATTCAATTTGCTGTTATCTGGAGTCTAACAAGACTTGGGTGTGTCACAGGTTTCTCACACCTGCTTTAGCAGAACCTCTAAATCAAATATTGTAGGTTGCAGGTTGAAAATCCAACATCGGGGAGATCGCCAACTGAGACTGGGCAGTTGCAGATTTTTTAGCTCACCTACTATTAATATTGTGAGCCCATAACTGGGTCAACTCAATATCATTTCCAGTTTCCTTCAAGGTCTTGGTGTTACTTTCAAGCTGTTTGATGACTAACATCTTGAACGTCTTAAGGGGAAAGTCTCAAAGTCAGTTCTCCGATCTGTTGATACTGGTCCCTGTTCTGGCTGCATAAGAAGAAGTGCTTCCAAACTTATGAATATGTTTAAAATATTAGGCTGGGGAGCATGATCAAGAACACAACCCACACACACCCTCAAAAAAGATCCCCTTTTCCCCTGAGAAAATAGAAATAATAACTCAAGGCCAAAGCACTCTAGCACCATCAAGACCTGCTGTACATCTACAGCTTCCTTGGCATCTGTTCTCTTCATATGGCGCAACAGTCTATTTGGCATCCTCTACACTGTAGAGCCCACAGTGTCCATATGTATCAGAGCAGGGATACTTCATGGGCTGATGTAGACCTTTCAGTAGCTCTTGTGGTGAAGTTACCACAAGAGAGCACATTCATTGCACTTCTGCCACACGTACACACAAATCCAGCAGGTGAGGTATTGGGATGTGGGAAAAGGAAGATAGTAGTTTGGGGCTGGCCCTTAGCATTTGTACCATATGCAAACCAATTCCTTGCACATTCAACATTTATTGTAAAGTTTCCTGAATATGCCATTCAGGTTGACCACCTCAGAAGGAGATGCAGCATTCGATTTTTGGTGTCTGAAGGGCCAGTGGACAGGGACATCCTTTTCCATTTTGTAAAACCAATTCTAAGCACGCTGTGGACTGCAGCCAAATCGAAAAAGTGTCCTGAGAAGAAAAGTCTTGGTTGGGTGATATTTTTGTTTTGTTTTTAAATATACTAGTATATGTATATATATTAATTTTTTAGTTTATCACTAGCCACATTACCAGACTTGGTTATCCAGGCTTCTCATTAGCTTCTTTCAAGGCCTCCTGCAGCCTTTGTTTAAACTTGTCATACTTCTTCTGCACTTGCTGGATTTTCTCTTTTTCTTCTCTTTCAAGTATTACTAGGAAATTCTGTAGCTCCGGAATAGAGAAGTCATCCCACTAATGAAGGGGGGAAAGAATAGAGAAACTTTAGCTTGGCACACATTCAGATTGTGTTATATTTATGTGATTTTACATGTAGCTATGAAAGCTATAGAACAACATCTAATGGAAGATGGACATCTCATCTATATACTTTTCTAAGCATATGAAGATACAGATAAATGGTAAACACTGAGGCCCATTTTCAGCTGAAGTAATGTCCACAAATTGTGACCAGAAGTCACATTTGGGATTGATTACAGGTTTTCTGTGTGTGTGTGTGTGTGTGTTAAATCTAGGTCACTGCTCCTAATACCTGAGGAAAATACTGTATTTCACTGCATAATAGTTGCACCCTCCCCCCTTCAGGGGAAATGGGGGTGTGACTATGTGACCTCATGGACCAGACCACGCCAGAGCTCCCTGTCGGCAGAGGCCACCTCCAGTTCCTTCAAAGTCAAGCCAGTCACTTCAAAGATACCATCCATCCATCTTGTCCTTGGTCTGTCCATCTTCCTTTTTCCTTCCATATTCCCCAGAATCATTGTCTTATCCAAGCTTTCCTGTCTTCTCATTCTGTGGCCTCTAATATCCTTCCCTCCAGTGAACAGGTGGTGACTATTACATGATGAAAACTTTTTGCAGCTATGGAGATTCTTTCAGCTGCCAGCCAAAGGAAACCCTGTAGCTACAAATCCACATGTGCACCGCCCCCTTGGCTACAGGGCCTCCTTCAGCTGGTGGCAACTGAGGGAGACCTTGTAGCTCTCACCAGCAAGTGCAGGGCCAATTGAACTTTCATCCACTTCCATGCCTGCCCCAAGGGTGGGTGTGCACAACTATTATATGAGGAAGATTAATTTTACCAATTTTGGCACCCCAAAGATGAGGGTGCAAGTTACATGTAGTGGCAACTATTTTGTAATGAAATGCAGTGTTTGTGACTGCGATTATCTTTTAAAATTTTAACAGTTTTGGGGGAGGGACTCTGGGAAATCTTCTACCTTCTAGGGGCCTGGGAAAAATAGGAAAGGGAGTGCTGGGAGGGGGCTGTACAGTTCCTATTCTGGCTATAGATGTTAAACATAATCCTGGCTATAGATGTTAGGCATAATTTATCAATTGAATTTCTGCAGGTCTTCTCTCAGTACATCCTTACTCGGTTTTTCAATGACACTCTGCAATATCCAGGAGAAGACTCCAAAATTATTCCAATAGGAAGATTACATCTATAAGTCCTTCTAGATTCAAAAGTGACTGCAATTCAGTGAGTCACAGATTTGGGGCAAGATCTTTTATACTTAAAGCACAACATAATTATATGCCATCTAAGTTATGCTGCCGTTCACACTCGTGCAACCAATTACCCAAAAGGCACCAATAACTTGGCCTCTTTCTTTGAGCACTGTCCTATTTGTTGTCCACTAGCCAAGTCAGAAATAAAAGGCCTCTGTGTGTGCTTGTGCAAGAACTGGCAGCATTGGGGGACCCCTCTTATGCAATCAGAGAAAACACAACCCATTGCACGACTACTTTCAAACCTCCAAAGTATCTTGAGTGAGTTGATTCAGACTTAGAAAAAGTCTGAATTAATCCACTCAGACACTTCCCAGAAGAAAATAAGAGTTGTTTTCTGTTCACCCTTTCCCTCTTCTGGGTGTCCTTCCTGTTCCCTGAAAATTAGTAACAAAAGATGGGCAAAGTGCAGACACTGGACTGTACTTTTTGACCCTAAAACTTACCACCAGACACCAAAAGCACCCAAGCCTTCAAAAAGCAATTGGCATGCTTTTAAAACAATTTTTGGCATTAAAATCATTCAGAAAGCTCCACAAATGCAAAAAAAAGTGAAAATGGCCCATCCCATGTGCACCAGCTCTCCAGAATCCCATATTGCCTCTACCTCCATTTTTTCTGCAGTCACTCAAAATGGCAACCATCACTTCCCATCACCATTTTGAGAAGATCTGCAGAGAAAAACAAAAGTACTTGGGCTTGCTTGGAAAAGTGCAGCTGGTTTAATTGGTCCTTGGCCCCCACATAGCTGCCTATCTCTGCTTTACAGCAGTGTAGGAGATAGCCTATGGGTTTGCAGAGGAAGTAGTAATCAAAAGCAATGACTCCTTACATCCCAAGAAAAAGGAAAGGAGACCCTAGGCTAGACCTCTGATTATGATCTCTGCAGAAAGGCATTTCTACAGGTACTACCTAATTTTCAAATAAAAAAGGGGAGGCTGTATGTCTTCTGAAATGTTCTAATTTCAAGGAAGCTTTTTATTTGCTTCAGTGCTCTTCCTGATCTAAAATGCTAGTATCTAAGGGTTCTTGTAGTAACAATCTGATATTATAAAGACAGGAAGTTTGCTTTTTCCACCCACTCAGGTTCTGCCCACGTGGTTGCAGATCGCTGCTTGTTTAATGTGGGTGTGTGCTTTCTGAAAGTGGAGCATGTTTGTGCAAGTTCAAAAGCAAAGTAGCTTCCAGACATACCTCAACTTCCCCAGTTTCATTTTCTTTCAACACAAAACTCAGAATGTCTGTGTCGGGACCTGCTAGCAGCCGGAGGTATAAAGGATATTCTGTTACAGGGAGTTTCTGAGACAGAACTGTGGAGAGGAAAAAAAAACCAGAATCACTTGGGGGTCTTAAAAGAAGGTTATTCTTAGTCTCGTAAAGAGCCCTTTCACATTTGTCCATGTTAGAAGGCTAGTCCTACCCATGCAGTCTCATGAAGTGCAAGAGATGGTTACTCCTGTTTCCAACTGGACTTCCTTCCTAATCACAAAGGAATGACTGGCTGTAATTCTCTTGAACTGAGGGCAAAAATCAGCATAAGGTCATGTTGACATCCTCAACTGCAGGTGCCTGCTATAGAACCTGGGACCTTTTGCCATGTGTTCTGCCACTAAGCTAGGACATCTTCATGGAAAGATAATGAACAGACCAAGGTGGTAAAGTGTACTTCATTGTTGGAATTAGTTGCAGAAGTTAGGAATTTGCATGCTGGCAAAGTATACGCATGGGCAAGAAGTACAGTGTTGATATTTCAAGATTCCTCTTGAAGAAAACCATGCTTAATATCCCTTAGACAGAAGAAGGTGTTGGATAAGCTTTCTACTTAATAGGATCTACTTTAATAGGATCTCCAAACAAGTGGGCTGACTTTGACATATATAGGACTGAAATTGCAAAATTGCTCGGTTCACAATGTTTACATTTTGGAACATATGAGTATTTACATCCAAAATGTAACTTGAAGAAAATCTTCAAAGTAGATTTGGATCTCATTGTTTAGCAAGTCCATTTCAGAAATCTCTCATTCCTAACAGGATTTTAATAAAAATTCTGCAATAGATATATATTCATCTTAAAATACTACAGTTTCTGGGGCCCATTCCACTTAAGGACTCCAAAAACAAATGGAACATACAGACTTTACCATTACATTTACAACACCATCACCCAGTCTAAAAAAAAAATGGAACAATAAAGGGCTAGTCTGCTCAAGAAGCAAGCCTGATAACACACAATTGTTTGCTTAACAACATCACACATTTATTATTGCCTTAAGAAAGAATATTATCTCACCTTGGCCATCTTTCTGCATCTGTTTGAAAAGTGCAAACTTCTGTGGGTTGTCAACCACCATAAATTTCTTCAGAAGTCCCTGGATTACTTCACTCACAGTGGTGGTGCTGCTGATGTGAAGTTGCTTGATGGCATCCAGCGGCAGGTAGAAGGATGTTCTCTTCTCTGTCATGTTGGCCAAGTCGACCTCCTTGAGGGCATCATAGATGGACTGTGGCCGGATCCCTGCTGGGACTGTCACTGGCCGGCGAAGTTTCAAGTGTACTTTGATGAAACCTGTGTAAGTTCCATCATCATTCTGAGGAGGCGGAAGATGAAATTAAAAGATGAGAAAGGTAGGTTTTGACATTTTATTTGTTGAGTTATCATATCTACTTGTGTAAGATATAATCATGTATAAACTGAGGACAGGTTTAGGGGGCCAAAATTACATCCACCACCAAATTATGGATTTTGATATGACTCATGAATAATCTTCATAAAGGCCAGGGCCAGTTGGCTCAGCTTTGACCTTAGGTGGGTTGAGAAACCAGGTAAGCAGAATATATTCTGAAGGAATGTCATTCCACAGAGAGGGAAAAACACCAGTGCTACCTCAAGAAGCCAGCTGCCCTTTACCGCCACCACTTTCCTGCCACTTTCCACATTCAAAATCCCAGAAGTGGCACCATAACAGAGACAATAAACTGCTTGATGTTTTTTAAAAGGTTCTGCTGTGATGCACTAAACTGTTAGCTTTCGTCGCCCTACTCATAGAAGGGAACTGTGACCCTCAAGAATTAGGCCTTCAAACTTCCACCACACAGGGAAAGTTAAACCACTTTCAATGTTATATTCTACAGCTAGAAAAACAATAGTCTTCAGTACCATGAAATTAAAAAGTAATGCAAAAATGTAATACAAACCATCTTCATCAGCAAGCAATTGTTGACTTTGGAATTGTATTTATCAATCTTCTCCTTCAGCTCTTGGGTGGTAGGAGCTTTAAGTTTTTCTTCTTCCACTGTTTTTGTTACATTCTAGAACAAAGAACGAAAAGAAACACTTGAGAAATGCTTCAACCAACTAGCCTTTTCAATCATACTTGCCTAATACAAATATGCACTGACTCCCCTGTATTACTTTTCATTTTTGTCCCTTTTCACATTTTACATATGCACATAGTAAAGGTAAAGGTTTTCCCCTGACATTAAGTCCAGTCGTGTCCGACTCTGGGGGTTGGTGCTCATCTCCATTTCTAAGCCGAAGAGCTGCCGTTGTCCATAGACACCTCCAAGGTCATGTGGCTGGCATGACTGCATGGAGCACCGTTACCCTCCTGCTAAGGCTGTCCTTATTGATCTACTCACATTTGCATGTTTTTCAACTGCTAGGTTGGTAGAAGCTGGGGCTAACAGCGGGACTACACACTGCTCCCCAGATTTGAAACCGCAACCTTTAGTATTTTTATGTGCCTTCAATTCATTTCTGAGCTATGGTGACCCCAAGGCAAAAGTTTCTTGGCCAGATTTATTCAGAAGAGATTTGCCGCTGCCTTCTTCTGAGGATGAGAGAATATGACTTGCCCATGTCACCCAGTAGTTTCCATGGCCAAGTGGAGATTTGAATCCTACTCTTCCAGAGCCCTTCCTCAACACTCAAATCTTTATACCACACCTGTGAAAGGCAAGGCCCGTGGGCCAAATGCAGCCTGCCATGTCATTTTATGTGGCTCACGAGACTTTCAATGTCAGGGTGACATTGTTACACTTCTATAGTCTTATAATTACAACTGGCTCTTTGAAAGTAACCATAAGGCTGATGTAACCCTTGGTGAAAATGAGTTCAGCACTCCTGCTCTATACCATGCTGACTCTTGTTCAGAGAGAGGTGAAATGAAATGACAGTTCAAGTCTCTCCCCAATCAATAAAGAGAGCCATTGTCTTTGGTCTTTTCTATACATATATATACTTCCTCCTTGGAGAGTTTAGATCTTTATGCTGAATAGATTGAAAAGGTGTGCAATTGCAGTGTTGATATATATAGTTCCTAAAAATTTGATACAGTATGTAGAAAAGAAAGCCAATGAACAAATACCAAATAGAGAAGGACATGTTATCATGATGCAAAGGTTTTAGCTTCCTGCTAGCAGACAAAATTAGGAAATTGAACAGTACAGTCAGTGCATATGCACAAAAAGACCCATGAAGCGAAGTTAAGAAGTTGAATGATGAGCAGGAGAAAAACATCAAGACTAAAATCAAAATCTCAAAACATGTTTAGGTATATAATTGTTAGTAGGACCGGCCAAACAGTTAACAATCTGCAAGCTTTTGAGGACTCTTCTTAAAGCAAGACTCTACCTTAAACAAAAATAGTAAGAAACAAGAGACACATTTGGGGTATGTCAGAAAAGGAAAAACATCCTCCTCCATATTCATCATATATAATTTTAGATGCTTCTATCATGTCTCCCTGTCTTCCTCAATGTTGTTCTATAATATCTCCCACCCTCACATTTCCAGCCCGAGATGTAATCAAACAGGTTGCCTTTTTTTTTTACACCTGTACACAGTAGGCATGACAATGAGAAGAGATGAGATCATGGTGTATGTAAAGAAAGAATGTCCCGCATTACAAATCTGAACTGCTTCCTCTTCCAAATGACAAGTGCTTCCTTCCACTAGGCATAATACCTTAGTATGCAATTCATTTTGCCCCCCTCAGCCTCAGTCAATTCAGGAAGTATCTAGATCACTGCTAGTCAAGCAGGATTAATGGAGGTAACAGAGCAAGATTGTTCAAAACCAGAACCATAATCTCAGTTACATGGAATTTCTCTCAGCTTTGCACAAAATCAGAACTGATGGTTATTCATTCCTAGAGGGTATCTCTAAGTAGTACATTTCCTTTCAGCCTAAATATTTGGTAGTATTGTTGCTTGAAAAAAAGGCATTTGAAAGTACCTTCATACATTGTATTGTTCCCAATTATGCTTAACTTACCTGAAGCTGGAGTTAATTGCAACTGTGCTTTTCTTTGGTAACAAAGAAAAATCACAGTCTAGAAAAGTCATTGGGTCACAAAGTCAGTCAGCAAAAGAGTAGGAAAGGAAGTAATGAATCATCATGACTTTGTTCTAATTGGAGCAGTAACTCAATACCACTCTGCCACATACAGAGTCTAACTTGCAACTTTATTTTTGTTCCCCAGGCTTCAGTTTAAACCTAGCTGTAATTTTAACTTTCTTTGGGGGGGGGGGGGAATCTACAAAGGTATATGATACATATTCCCCAGGCAAATAATGCAATTGTAATTATCTTCAATTTCATGTAGAGCTTTTGTCCTGAAATGGCAAAAGTCACATGAAATGTCAGCAACCCACATGCTTAATTCAAAGCCAATCTCTTTGTTCCAGAGTTTGATCTACACATTTGATGCTTGGACTGGTAATCACTCCATATAGGAAACAGAGAGAGACAAATTGGCCCATAGGTAGGGTTCCCCAGTGAGTCTTTATGCAAATCCACTCATTAATGTTTAGATATAATCGACCACACGAATAATCAAGGCCTGTCACTGACAGGGACACTTCCAAGACATAAAGAGAAATGTAATTAGGAAGGCAGAGAATTCATCAGAGAGAAAATAAACAATTTTGGATACACCTGTCACAGCAGTGGGGATATGGAGGTGTCTCATTAAATGAACAATGGACTGATTGTCACAAATGTATCTAGCACCCAATTCTACCATTGATTTGATGGAACTGCAGGTGCTAAATCATCAAGCTATTCATGCATTTGATTTTTCCATCAATGCCAGGGACAATGGCAGCTTCTAAACATAACTGCTAGGCTCCTTCGTTAGTCCTGAGGTCCAAAGAAATCAATGAAGTCACACTGAGTTCCTTCAGTTGGGGGTCTTGACATAATAAGTTGTTTAAAAATTCAGATCAAAAAGAGGAGGTTGGGAGTTATATACTTTTTTGACACCAGAGCCCTTAGCATAAGAAGCAACATTTTCACAGGAGTCAAGGACAGCTGCCAAAGGACACCTCGGAATCAGATGAATCCTAACAACATTTTCCAATGTAAGTGCAGATTTGGCAATGGTAACTAAGGCCATTCTAGTCAAAATGTTTGGGGCAGCCTTCCACCTGAATGCCCAAACCATCTGTGCTAGGATAAAAAACATATTAAGTCAGGGAAAGACAAGTACACAAAGACTGCAATCATACATTGGACCATAGCTGCACAGTTCTATGTTCTTCGATGCGCTATCTTATTCCTTCTCACCTGTGAGATATAGAATAGCTCTATCTTCGTGGTCAGAATTCCCTTCCTTCCAGGGATTTGCTAGATTAATAGGAGGGAGGTTTTAGATCAGAATGTTAGGGTGAGAGAATGCCCCCTGCACCCCACATGCCACCCATTAGCTGGCAACTTTATTTAGGGCTCACAAGCCATAATGGGACAGACGGGATTCTCCCCAATGCAGACCTTTGACCCAATGCAGACATGTCCAGGCTCCTGATATCAAAAAAATGATCGTGTTCCCTGGTTCATCACGTTATCAGTGATGGACTGAATGGAAATTCTTCAACCAGAATTTTGACAGAACCTGGTCTCACTCTTTCTCAACGTTCCTGATGTGGGATTTGAAGGTGGATCTGAACCTGTGAAGCCTGCCTGAGAAGGCTGGCTTCATGTTTCTCCCCTCCTCCTTGGATGGAGATTATGGAAAATGACCTTGTAGTAAAAAAAAAAAAAAAAGATCATCTGTTTTTGTTTGATTTCGTTCCCTCTCCTTTTGCCTTCTTTTCAGTGGTTTGACAGTTGCCTAATGCTGCACTCTAAACTGACAACATTATTGACCTGTAATCTTTTACAAGAAGTATGGAGAAAGCTTCTAAATATAGGAAGGAAGTGGCTTAAAACAATATTGGAAGATAACAGGGTAAGACCTATTTGCAGACATCATTTGCAAGGTGCATGCACACATGTTAATGTGTATATCCAAGACCCACCTTTTCATCTTTCTTCCCTTCTGCTTTATTTACTCTCTCTCGATGTTGACAATATCACCAGGCAGAAGATGTTAGAGAGCAGTAAGAGCAGGGTTCCAGCTGTTTTTATGAACTCTCAAGCTGTTCTCCTTCACTGGAGGAAAGACTGTTGTGCTCCATGTAATCTGTTCTGCCCCCTCCAAATTACTCCACTAACTCATTTACCTCAAAGGACATTATTTCTCTGTTAAATCTGAAGGGTAATTCAACTGTTAGTCTGTGTTAGGCGCTCCCTCATTGTCTGAGTAAGATTGTCCTCCAAGTTCGGTGTCCTGGCGGTGGGTATGTAGGTGACTGTGGAGCCCTATTCTTGACCTGCATGTTCTCCTGCAGTGAGGGCATCTGTTTCCAGGTGGAAGGCAGTCCCTGTCTGAGTTGGCTTGATGCGCCTTCCTCCTGGCACGTTTCTCTCTTTCACCCACCATTTGTGCCTCTTCAAATTCTACAGCACTGCTGGTCACAGCCGACCTCCAGCTAGAGCACTCAAGGGCCAGGGCTTCCCAATTCTCTTTGTCTATGTCATAGTTTTTAAGGCTGGCTTTGAGCCCATCTTTAAATCTCTTTTCCTGTCCTCCAACATTCCATTTTTCATTCTTGAGTTCGGAGTAAAGCAACTGCTTTGGGAGACAGTGGCCAGTCCAGCGGAGTTAAGGCTGAGGACCATCGCTTCAATGCTGGTGATCTTTGCTTCTTCCAACACACTGAAATTTGTCTGCCTGTCTTCCCAAGAGATTTGAAGGATTTTTTGGAGGCAACGCTGATGGAATCGTTCCAGGAGTTGCATGTAATGTCTGTAGATAGTCCACGTTTCATAGGCATATAGCAGAGTTGGAAGGACAATAGCTTTATAAACAAGCACCTTGGTATTCCTACAGATGTCTCGATCCTCACACTGTGCTTCATTCAGAAAAATGCTGCACTCGCAGAGCTCAGGCAGTGTTGTATTTCAGTGTCAATGGCAATGTCAGTGG